CTCCACCACCCATGGGTTGCAGGGGGACAGCTTACTTCACCATTGTCTTCACCACAGGGCACAGGGGATTCGCTGTGCCTGGAGCACCTCCTCCCCTTCCTTCTTCACTGACCTTGATGTCTGCAGAATATTTCTCTCACATATTCTCACTCCTCTCTCTTGCTACAATTACTGCTGAGCAATTACTTTTTTCCTTTCTTAAGTATATTATCACAAAGGTGCTACCACCATCGCTGATGGGCTCGGCGTTGGCCAGTAGCGGGTCTGTCTTAGAGCCGGCTGTCATTGGCTGTATCTGACATAGGGGAAACTTCTAGCAGGGTCTCACCAAAGCCACCCCTGTAACCCCCCTGCTACCAAAGCCTTGCCACACAAACCCATTACATTGCCCCCAAAGCAAATATAGAAGAAACAAACAGGTGACTCCAGCTAAACCAGATGGCTAAGAGAGGTCAGACAAATCACAGCCCGAGGGTGCCCATCTCTTTCTACAAGCTAGAAAGGAAGCCCGAGGTGACTAGCTGAGATCTGGATGTCCTTTCCTGGACACCTGACGTCAGGTGAGATGACTCCTCCCAAACACCTGGTGGAAGGTTACACATCCATGTGTCTTTCCTGTCCATGTACATGGACATGGAAGGAGTCAGTTCCCTGACCACTGGCAAAGGAGCGGTTTATTTCCTATAACAGGACAAAAATCATTTTGTTAAAACACAAACACATGACCAAAGCTTGTCACCACTGCTACTCCCCTCTAGAGCTTGGCATTAGGGTGTCCATAGATCCTCTCCTGCATCTTAACAACAAACCACAGTGGGGGAGATGGCTAGGAGAAAAGGAGTCCGTCTGAAGGTGCAAAAGCATGAACATGTTCCCCATAACAGTGCTGAGATGTTTATCTATATATAATCGTAATCCCATCATTAAGCAGGAGCAACTTGCCGTCTGCACATCCTATTAATGGTCATTGCTCCAGGCCCTCTTCTTCTCCCCTGATCCTTACACACACAGTCCTCCCTCCCCTGCATCACTGCAAACCAGCCCTTTACCTTCAACCATGAGAGAAGATTTGCCTCAACATCTTGAAGCCCTAACAGCAGAAGAAAATGCCCCTTACTTTAAGCCTCTGAAGTAAATAATCATCACTGGTATTTGACCTGGTGTTGTCTGAGTGAAATACAAGGTGAAAGATAATTCATCCTTTAGGTAATTTGGTGCCAAATCACTCAGAGACCTATAAACTAGAGTGACAAGCTGCTTCATGGGTCCTGTTGCAAAGAGGTAGACCTCACCATAACCTTCCCTTTGCTTTACAATAATGCTTCTACAATGGCTCTGCAGAAGTCTCCTTGTGCCTGTGTTGTTAAATTACCTAAAGATTTTCCTGTATTCTGCGTGAAAGATTCTGACAAATTGCACTGCAGCGGGGGTGTCCCAGACAGAGAGGAAAATGCATTTCCAGACACTCTGGCCACACAACTGACACCAGACTTTTTAAACATCAGCATATCAACAGGCTTTCCATTTCCTGTGTCAGCAGGTCACTTGAGACTGGCATGTCCATTCACAGTATGAGCCGATACACATCTAAGCACCAGATTAAGCTGTGGAAGAGCCATCAAAATGCCACTTTTGGCAACTTGCTTGCTACACAGCAGCTGAAAACCTGCCTTATCTGACTGTTCAAGATATCAAGAGAGACCTCACTGCTCTGTGCAGGAGGTGTGGACCTGCTGCCCACTCCATTCATCCTTGTGGCCCCACCATGATATCTGGGAGGAGGGATCCTCCTTTATTCATCAGCACTGTGTAGCAGAGTGCTATGACTATGCCTTTGGACTATGAGCTGGGACTCACATTTCTCACTGTAGTCTTCTTGTCTACCCTTGTAGGCTATGATTGCGTATGACAGTTCAGCAATGGTGCAAAACCAGGCAGTTCTCCCCAAAAGTAGTGATCCCACAGCCTAAGCATCACACAAGTGAGACAACTCTTTCCTTTCTCTCCCCCTCCATCACAAGTAATGGCATACCCCTGGCCTCCCTTCATTTTCTCTGGGGCTGTATCCCTGAGGCAGGGCCTGAATTTTTGAGCTGTCAGTCAATGGGCCAGTTCTGCTGAAAGCAGCTTAATGGCGAACTGCAGGTGTCCCATCAGCTGGACTGTATGCAAGACAGTATGGTGGCTGCTAAGCTGTGCAACACATAAAAGCAAAGCTGAAGAAAGCCCATGGCGAGGGGACTACTGAGTTGATACGTTATCAACCGTTTAAAACAAAGGAGGGAAACCATCAGACATTCAAACAGAAGGGCACTGTAAAGACAAGATGTAAAAATCCTAAGAGAATCAGCAGCAGGACCAAGACTCAGAGGTCAGCCCTTCCCCACCTGCCTGCTGTGATCTGGCAGGCAGACACCCACTGGGTGGTGGAGCAGGGCTAGTGAGGGTATCTGAGCTTAGCCTTGCAGCATGTTTACCCCAGCCCAGCCCTCAGCACGTGACAGTGAGTTATTGTGGTACATGTCATCCTGCTTTCAAGTCTCCAAGTCCAATGGAAGATTTCAGAAAGACAGCTCAGTCTCACAAAGATGCCCAGGGGCTTCTGATGCACAGGGGCGGGGCATTGCCCTTTCCCTTGCCCTGTGATACCACCAGATATATCTTCCGGGCTAGAAAGCTCTTAGCTCCATAACTACATGTGATTGTTTGCAGACAAAGACATGTTTAATTCCTGGCCACAAAAAAGAGCTAGTCCAAAAAGACCACCAACGTCTACAGGTATTTTCCTTTTAGCAGTGAGCTATAAATAAGACACTAAGCAGTCTTTCCTTATACACACTGCATCCTAAAAGTGCCATTTATCAGCAAGAAATATTCTCACTTGAAATCAGTAGGATTACTCAAGTGTACCAAAACAAGGCCATTTAAGAAGAATTAAGCCTAATTAAGGTACAAAACAATGAAGTAATTTACAAATAACCAAGGTGGAAGGGGGCATGCTGTTCTGGTGGGCAATGTTTTCTTTACGGTTCTGCTGTACTTTGAAGCAAGAGAGGGATTCTCTTCTGAGGAAGTGCTTTAAACAAAGGAAAATACAACAATTTAAGCGGGTATGTGTGACTGGGAAAAGGAAAAAACAAACAAACAAACAAATATATATGGCATATATAGTGTGTTTTTCTGTGTCCCATTGTCTTTCATGGGTCTGTCTCCTCTGAGAGGCTACATTTTCCATGATCCACTGCCTATCCTATGTGAGAGAGGGAAGGCTAGTGTGTGGCAGAAGACACAGTTCAGCCGTTGAACTTGGCCAGCCATAAGAAAGAAAGGGACTACCAGGGATCGAAATTCAGCTCACAGTTGGGATCCTCATTTTCAGGAAGCGCCCATCCCTCTGAAAAGTATGGCCAGATAAGGTACCTCAAATTAAGTGTGAAAAGCACAAATTATCTTTTGAAAATTTAGGCCTTATTACGAGAAACTTTGAAAAAAAAAATGCTGAAAAACATTTTTCCTGGCACGAAGCAAATTCACAACAATCACCCACACTGTGTGATCAGAAAGTAATATATATCTAAGTAATGTAAGAAAGTTTAAGAGTAACACAATGCTCCCCAGATTCTTCAGCTCTACTGGGATTTTATTACGTTCCCCAAAACAAGGAGAGGAACTTTCCAGGAAATTAAACTAGCAGGTCTTAGCACCAAGCTTCACATCTCTCCAAGCTGATGCTCAGTTGCCAGCTTCTGTCCTGGTTCTTCATACATTGGGGACGTTATGGCAATTAGCTCCTTTTCCAACATTTCCATTTGAGCCCTAATGTCTGACACAGTGTTTTTCACAGCATTCAGCTGCAGCTTCAGTGTATTGTAATCTTCTTGGAAGGATCTGTTCACATCACAGAGAATGTGACAGTCCTGTTTCTTCCCAAGGAGCCGGTTCACTTTCAGGAAGATGTGGAGGAGTTCGTCTAAGTCCTGGAGAGCCTGGAGGATTTCATACTCACCCTGTGTGTTTAGGGCAGACTTGATCTTATTCTGGGCTGGAGTGGTGCTCTTCTTTATAGCTTTATGTCCCTGCTGGGGGCCTGGGCCAAGGTTACCTCCTTCCACAGCTGTGATGGTGTCAGTGTCCTTCTGAAGATCTGAGCTGGCATCTTCGCTCTCTTCACAGACTGTGATGGCTTTTTGGTCTTTCCAGATGATGGGGAATGTTTTATCCTGCTGCTGGAAATCCTCTAAGACTCTATTGTTTTCCTGGACCGCCTGGAGATCTTTGTTGCCTCGGCTGACCTGAAAGCCTATGTTCCTCTCTTGGAAGAATGGGAACAGCTTGTTTTCCTTCTGGAGGCTTTGCTGAATGGCATCAGTATAAATAACCCAGAGAGCTTCACTCTGTGACTGGAGACATTGTAGAGCCTTATTTTCTTCCCAGAGCATCCTGTTTTCAATCCGAAGGACTTGGTTTTCCTCCCAAAGCGCTCTGTTCTCCTCCAGGATGCTCCACTCGCTCTGTGCCTTCTTGCTAAAGACTTTCTGGTGGGGAGCAAAGGGTGACTGGCAGCAGATCTCATTTACCCATTTACCATCAATAGATACAAACATCTCATCCCCCAGTTTCATCCATGGTGCATTATAGTCCATCTCAGCCTCTGTACACTGCATGCTCTGGTTCCTCAGATCGAAAGCAAACATGGCCTTTCTTTAGGAAATTGAAGAGGACTGTGTAAAGGACTTCTTCCAGGAGTTCTGCAAGAGGCCACTGTCCACTGGCAAGGAGTAGGTGACACAGCGGAGCTGCACAAGCTTGATCAGGACTGAAAGAACAGGGAAGACATGTACAGTTACTGCCCAAATTCAAGGTCAGAATTAAAGTACATTGGATGACAAAGAACAAGCAAATTAGTCAGTTCCCAAAGTCGACCATGTTGCCCCTTTGGCTCTGAAAGGTAAGAAATACACCAGAAACATAGTTTATAGAAGCTGAGAAAATTGGCACTGGTAGGTAAAGCAGCTGTATGGCAGCACCACAAGCTTTGGTATAAAAACCTGGACTCTCCTTTTACCTCCCTACTTCATTTTTACAGACATGTAAGGGAGTAGAATGTAAGAATATCTTGTGCCTCAGAATAACCTGTTCCCAAATGACTGACAGAAAAATTAATTAAAATTATTATGGGGCTGAACACAACTTTCCAAAATAAAACATTTTTAAAGGATCACAGTAAAAAACTGGCTTCGAGAGCAGCTTTTTCTTGTTGATGCTCAGTAGCCTGTGTTAACAGGACACCACACAAATGCAGTGGCAGCTGTGCGTTTTGATCTTGAAATCCACAGAAGAGCACAGGAAGAGCACCAAGTGATACAATATGCACAAATAATTAAAACTCCAAAGCACAACCCTGGGACATGATGACTAGGAGAGGTCTACTGCTCTTTGCATGTTTTTCTGAAAAGTTCCCATCACCAGGGTCCAAAAACTGTCACAACCCAGAGATGATTCTCCATCTTTCCTTCTCATTTCTCCCATTACTATTTTCTTCCTACCCTTTGATAGATCCACTATTTTTCTTGCTTTCTAGCCTTCCAATAGTGATTGCTCATCTCTTTCCTACAGTCCGTCTGCCTCTTTTTCACATTATCACAAAACCTATCCCCTTAAAATCCATACTGCAGGGCTGTACCTCCAGTACTTCTCATTTCAGTCACAGAAACCTCAGATTTATCTGCTCAACCCTCTTCCCTCCTTCCCTCCACCTGAGATGTTGCAGCTTAAATTGCCTTCTAGTCATCAAACCTGGGCAAATGAAGGATTTTAGTCTTTTTTACATGGAAAAAAAAATGTTTTGTACCAAAGAAAATCTTATTTTCTGCAGTTCTTACCAAAAATTGTATTTATGTCATTTTCATGATTAAGTCACTTGAACTGAGACTGAACTATTTTTTATAACCAAATAGTTGGAATTCTTAGAGTTTCTGTGTAGAGTTTCTAACAGCACAAATGTGCCTTTGCCTAGTTAAAAAAGAAAAATAAAGGAGATTCGTTGTCAAATTTCACCCAGGTCTACCCATCTCCCCCGCTGAGGTCCCCCAGCTGCCCTTCTGTCCCTTGGGAAACCCAGTTCTGCCTTTCCGTCGGTGAGAAGAATTTTACCTTCATGAATTTTGCCTTCATGTCTCTGCCCTGAGCATTAGGCACGGGGTGAGCTCTGTCATCACATTGTGCACCCCCGTCCTAGTTTTGCCCTCTCCTTTCCAAAATCTGCTGCTCCCCCCTTTCTCCACTACCTCCACTACACAGCACTGTGTCTCTGGGCTCCTCCAGGTTACTTCTGACACGGAACATCCATAAGTGCTTCCTTCACCCCCTTCCCAAGCTTGTCCAAAAGCTCAGAGAATTTAAAATCCAAAATCCCTTAATGCAGGAGAGGGCAATGGCAATATAGGTCTGTTTGCAGTAACACTTGATTTTATTGCAATAGGGTCTCCATCTGACTTTCAATGTTATCTTCCACATCACCAGCTGGTTTATCTTACATCAGACTTGTGTTTTCATAATATCATTCCTCTGTTAAAAGGGATTTCCCCCAAAACTCCCAGTTTTGGAGGTTTTTGTTTCCACTTATGCCATGTTCAGAGCCATACATCACTCCTTCTCTTGCATCCTCTCCCCCACAGCCTTCCCAACCCATCCTGTTCCCTCAGGGTGCCCAGTCCGATTGTTTCCACTAGCAGCCACAAAATGGGGAGATAAATCAGCCACAGGGGGAATGGACCCCTGATCATCCAGAGGAGAAGCAGAAAACATCCAGTATCATAAGCCCAGACCCACCTGCCACTGCGCATTGTGGGCAAGCAGCTAGAGTTGTTAAAGTCACTTATATTTAAAGTGTTTAGATGGTATGTTTTCAGGATAAACAGAAATGTATAATATATAAGGCATTGAAGGACATTATCATGGGAACAACTTAAGTTTGACAGCAGCTCTGTCAGCTCTTTTGCACTACAGGGGAGACATTGACACAGGCTTCAGAGAGATGTTTCAAGTCCTCCCACCTCCCGTACCATTTTCCCCCCATCTCTGAACTAAATAGTCCCAGGAAATGCTGGGCAGCTGGGGTGAGCGGGCAGGGCAGCTGGCTGGGGGGAAGATGCATGAAATCGAGCCAGGCTGGGTAGTTCAGCAGCGCTAAATATCACGCTCAGCACATGCTCACCTGCTCATCGGTGCTGGTGGTCTTTCCTCTCCCTATCACTGCCAAGCAGCCTGGTCTGAGGTCTTGATGCTGCCGGGGTGTCCAGGGGTGGTGGAGGTGTGCAGCGGGGGACAGAGGGGACCGATTGTGATGCTGTGAGATCTGGCAGGGACTTTGTCCCAGAGCCAAGACCCTGTCTCCCAATACTGGGGGCTGGCAGGTCCTGAGCACCCTCCTTGCACAGCCCACTTCTGAGCTCCCTCCCTGCTGACAGGGGGATTGTCTTTGATTTTTCCCAGCATTGCACTTTTGAGTTATTTCTCATGGAAATGACCTTTCTGGTAGCTCAGCTCTCATGCCCTTTCCTGATCCCAGACTTCCCGAACTGCCTTTGATGCTCATAACTGAGAGCAGTTTGGGTGGATTCTTTCTCCATCACACCCTCTTAAAACAAATTTTGTTTTTATTCCAAATCTTCAAATTATCTTTGTGGCTGAACTGATATTGATACATTCAAAAATCACTTGCTTGTATGCACTATGAGACCCAAAGTTATTTTCCAAGGACAACATGGGTTTGGAGTTTTTCTTTGGCTGTAAGTTTAAGAGCAGACTATCACTGAACCCTGTTAAGAAAAAAATAGAATATGCAGGGCATTCATGCATTGCAAGTTTAGATATTATTTGTAGCAGCTATTCCCACTTCCATGTCTTTACATTTCTAATAATCTCATTCTCTTTCTTATTTGCTACATCTTTCAGATGTGGAAATTTTTTTTTCTAATCAGGGTTCTTGTATAATAAATACAGCAGTTTTAATTTCTTTTCCAGCGAAAATTACCAACTTGACATCAGCCTCAAGGTGACTGTTATTGCTTCAGGAAGTTGGAGGCACAGTTCAGCCTTGTGTTATACAAAGATGACAAACTCAGGTATAAAATTCTTCCCTGTAATTTCTCCCTTGCTTATATTTAATCTTAGACAACAAGAAACATCACAGGTTACTATGGCAACTCTCCAGGGAGCATTCTCCTTTATTTGAGCTCTAGGATCCTGCACAGGAAAATGTCCTCAAAAGAGAAAGGAAAAGATTTTACCAGGGGAGTACTTGTGTTTGGCCTGCCGTCAGATGGGGATTTAAGGGTGCTACCCAGGTGCAGCCAGTTTTCAGGAGAGGTGACTGGAACAGCCAATCTGAACTTCTGAAGAAATGAGGCTGAAACAGACCTATGATGAACATTTTAAGGTCTAAGAGCCGACTGGGAACTGAGTTAATAGAGACAAGTGCAGCACACAACTTATCAGCAGATAAATTCTGCTTAGTGCAGAGCTGTTGAGAACTAAGTTAGCAGTGTACCTTTCCCTTTGCTTATGCAATAGTTCCCTTAAAGTTGAATAAAGTTCTTCTGGCAAGTTGTTTAATTGCTGAAAATTATGACTTCAAATACCAATGTATTTGGATAAAATTTAGCAAATATCATCAGATGTGCGTACATCACAATTAGAAATGCTGCAACAGCTCACCACAGAATTTTTTATAGCAGCTACATTGATTTCTGAGCTGGAGTCTCAAAATGACTGCGATGTCATTCACAAGATTACAGAGGCAGAAATAATGCTGAGTGTGTTCCCCTCCTTGCCAAGAGACCAGTAACGCCTACTCTGCAAGCAGGGTTTGAACTAAATTCCCAGCTGAGTGCTTTGTCCACAGCTTTGGACTACTCAATTTCTCCAGGTGAAGCTGTTTCACTATAAAAAGAATTAAACATTAATTGGAACCAAAGCCATATTCCCCATCCTACCTGCACACCTTACACCAGGCTGTTCAGCTGACTTTGCTGTCCTTCTTCTCAGGGATTATCTGGTTCTGGAAAGGATCCAGTGGGAGAGAGTGGGTGATCCCCCACGCACTCATATAATATTCTGCAGATTGGAAACTCACCTCCATGCTGGGCTGCAAGAGGTCACCATCCAGTGATGGGTTGGAAGCAGAGGAAAGAGCAAGGTCTGAACTGCTGCTATGAAGATCTTGCAGGGAGAACCCTGGAGACCCCATCCCAGCCTCCTTCGCATTGGGAATGGTGGTATGTACCTACTGTAATGTTCAGCTCTTTCCTCCCTTTGCTTTTGGGTTTAGAAGACCTGTTAAAGTGCTTGCAATCAAAATAATTTGGGGCAGGGGGTGTTGGTGTTAGTAAAAGCATAATGTTTCCTTCAATTTGGAACATCTTCTCTCCTTTTCTCTTTTTGTAAGTGTGTTGTATTCCCAGATCTTTATTTGACAAAACCAAAGGTGTCCACTGCCACTTTCTACCACCCCAAACACATTTGTGCTTCTGAAATTACAACCTCTGTTCACATCAGTGCAGCCTGGTCTCACCACACACTCATCCACTGTTCACCAGGACGTTAAAACTCTATGCAAATCCCACTAAGTCACTAAAAAGATTCTTGCATATTTGAATGGTCTTGAATCATCTCCTGACCTCAACAACTGGAT